GGTGACCCATTGCCCGCTGTCATACCTGGTGACCCGATTCCCGCTGTCGAGCCAGACAATCCGGTACCTGATGACCCGGAGCTCACGGTCCACGTTCAACTGAAGCCTGGTGACTCAGTAACCCACTGGCCTTTGGCCAAATGGACGCGGATGCCCGCTGATCGAGCCGTACAATCCGGTACCTGATGCCCCGGTGCTCACTGTCGTGCCTGTCTGACTCGGAGCCACTGCCCTTGCCAGATGACGCGGTGCCGCTGTACGAGCCAAATGACCTGATGCCTGGTGACCCAAGTGCCCGCTGTCCAGTCAGACGAATCCCCAATGTCTGACCCACTGCTTGCACGGTCATACGCAGTTGACTCGAGCACCTCACTGCCTTGCCAGATGACGCGTGCCCGCTGACGAAGCCAAATGACCCTGATGCCTGGTGACCCAGTGCCCCGCTGTCATACTGACTGGTGACCCAGATGCCCGGCTGCATCGAGCACAGTACAATCCGGTATACTGACCCGGTGCTACACTGTCGGTACCTGTTGACTCGGAGCCCCACTGCCTTGCCAGATGACGCGGTGCCCGCTATTGTCGAGCCAAATGACCCTGATGCCTGGTGACCCAGTGCCCGCTGTCCAGTACAGACTGATCCAATGTCTGACCCAGTGCCCGCGGTCATATCAGTTGACTCGGGAAGCCCACGGCCTTGCTCAGTGATGACGCGGTGTGCCCGCTGTCGATGACCCAAATGACCTGATGCCTGGTGACCCTGTGCCCGCTGTCCACGGTTCAGGACGATCCAATGTCATGACCCAGTGCCCGTCGCATGGTCATACCAGTTGACTCGGAGCCCACTGCGCCTATGCAAGATGTGACATCGGTGCCCGCTGTTCGAGGGCCAAAATGCTGTGGCCTGGTGACCTTTCGATGCCGCTGTCCTGTGGCGCCTAAGCTCGCCTCCATCCTTGGGTCACTGGCCCAGTGACTGTCTGGCTACCTGCCTGAGGGCTCGCGCACCGCACTGTCTCAGTTGCCTGAGTGACTTCGTGACCCGCCGCAAAAAAATTCCGCCTGGTGCTCCGAGGGACCTGTCAGTCATCGCCGCTCCGACCTAAGGGCCCGCGAGACCTGTCGCTCCTCCTGGGGGTCCGGCGCCCGCCGCTCCGCCTGAGGGCCCGAGACCTGTCGCTCCATCTGGGGGTCCGGCGCCACCGCCCCGCTCCGCCTGAGGGCCCGAGACCTGTCGCTCCCATCTCCCTGGGGGTCCGGCGCCTCCGCTCACCGTGGCCTGAGGGCCCGAGACCTGTCGCTCCTCGACTGGGGGGGTCCGGCGCCCGCCGCTCCGCCTGAGGGCCCGAGACCTGACTCGCTCGACCTGGGGGTCCGATCGCCCGCCGCTCCGCCGCCTGGAATGGGCCCGAGACCTGTCGCTCCGCCTGGGGGTCCCGGCGCCCGCCGCCTACCGCCTGAGGGGCACGAGACCTGTCGCTCGCCTGGGGGTCCGTGCCCCGCCCCTCGCCGCCCCCGCCTGAGGGCCCCGATTGCCTGTCGCCCCGCCTGGGGGCCGGCGCTGCGCTGCCGCTTCCTGCTGGGCCCGATGCCTGTCGGTCGCCAAACCGCCTCCACGATCGCCTGTTCGCCCCGCCTGGGGGCAACGATGCCTGTCCGCCCCCGCCTGGGGGCCACGGATGCCTAATCCGCCCCGTCCCCAACCCACCTGGGGGGCACCGATTGATGCCTGTCGCCGTCTCCGCTCGGGGGCCCGGTGCCTGCCGCTGCGCCCGCCTGGGGGCCCCGTGTCTGCCCTGCGCCCCCCGCCTGGATGGGCCCCCGGTGCCTGTACTGCCCGCTATACCGACCCGGGGTGCCCTCGGTCCTGCCTAGTCCGCCCCGCTGGGGGCCCGAACTGTGCGCCCCGCACTCCCCGGGGGCCCTTGCCTGTCGCCCACCGACTTCTGTGGGCCCGATGTAGCCCTCTCCCTCCCGCTGCCGCTGCTGGGGCAGTTTGCAAGACTGCCTGCTAGCTCGCCCCTCCGACAAGGGCCCCCTGTGCCTGCTCGCTCCGCCACGGGGCCATAACCGAGGCATGTGCCTCCGCTTGCCTGTTTCCGGGGCCCGGTGCTGCCTGACGGTCCCTGCTCTGCACCGACCCGGTGCCTGTGCCTGCTGCTCCGCCCCGGGGGCCACGGTGCCTCTGCTCCGCCCGGGGGCCCGGTTGCTGCTGCTCGCTTCCGCCCGGGGCCCGGTGGCTGCTGCTCACGCCCGGGGGCCCGGTGCCTGCTGACTGCCCTCAAGCCCGAAGGGCCCGGTGCCTGCTCTGCACTCCGCCCGGGGGCCCGAGTGTGCTGCCTCTAGCTCCGCAACTGGAAAGGGCCCGGATGCCTGCTGTCCGCCCGGGGGCCCGCAGTGCCTGCTCTTTCCTGCCTGGTAGCCATCTGCCCCTCCTGGGGGCCCCGGATGCCTGCTGCCCGCAGTCCCTGGAATAAGGGTTGCCTGTCGTGCTTGTCCGCCCCGTGGGTTTTTTTTGTGCCCGTCTGTGCCACTCGGCCCGGAGGGGGGTCCTGCCCGAATGTGCCTGTCTGCCGCCGGGGGGCCGGTGCCCTGCACCTCCTGGCTCCGCCCGGGTGGGCCACGAGCTGTGTGCCTGCTGCTTCCGCCCGGGGGCCCGGTGCCTGTGCGCTCCGCCCGGATGGGGCCCGGTGCCAGTGTCGCCCTGCCGCCATGCGGGGGCCCCGGTGCCTGCTGCTCCTGCCCGAGGGCTGCCAGGTGCCTGCTTGCTCTCCGCCCGGGGGCAGCCGGTGCCTCTGCTCCGACGGGTGCCGGTGCCTGCTGCCCGCCCGGGGGCCCGGTGCCTGTGCTCTGCCCGGAGGGCACCCGGTGCCTGCCTCTGCCCGGAGCCCGGTGCCTCTGGCTGTCGCCGGTGGCTGCCTGCTGCTCCTGCCCGATTCTGCCTGGTCGATATGCCTGCTGCCCGGAGTCCTTGCCCGATGTGCCTCTGCCTGGAGTCCTGCCCGATGTGCCTCTGCCCTGAGTCCTGCCCCGGGGTGCCTCTGCCTGGTGTGTCCTGCCCTGTGCCTCTGCCGGGAGTCCTGCTCCGATGTGCCTCTGCCGGAGTCCTGCCAATGACCGATGTGCCTTCTTGCCCGTGCCCGTGTGCCTGCCTCTCCCGATGTGCCTCTGCCCGGAGTGGCCCTGCCCGATGTATGTCTGCCGATGTGATGTGCCTCTGCCTGTGGTGTGCCTCTGCTCGATGTGCCTCTGCCCGGTGTGCCTCTGCCCGGTGTGCCTCTGCCCGGTGTGCCTCTGCCCGATGTGCCTCTGTCCCGATGTGCCTCTGCCCGGTGTGCCTCTGCTCGATGTGCCTCTGCCCAGAGTCCAGCCCGGTGTGCCTCTGCCCGGAGTCCAGCCCGGTGTGCCTTGCCCCGAGTCCCTGCCGGTGTCTTTGATAGTCCCGCCAGTTACCAGACCCGGGCGGTGGAACATTTTGCCCAGCTAGGACTGTTTGGAGCGTCCTGAGGCCGCTCCTTGAGGGGGGGGTACTGTTTAGGAATGGACTGGCCAGCAATGGTGGGACTCACCTGCCTTTTGATCTGCAGTACCAGGGCTGGCCAGCGGGTGCTACCCCAGCAATCAAAGACTCAACCTTTCAGCCAGCTAACACCTGGAACTGATGATACTGGGGTATTTAAGGGATGGCCTGACTTGCCAGACCTCTGCCTTGCTGGTGTTGTGTTTGTCCTGGGCCCTGCGTATCTGTCCTGCATCCTGTTTCTGTTCCTTTTGCTGACTTTCTTTTTGCACTGTATTATGTTTTAGTATTGCCTGCTTTTATGTTTGTACTTTTAGGTTAATAAATTTATATTTTTTTATAACAAAATCTGAGGCTGCGTTTCCCCTGCTTCAGTCCCACCCTGGTCATACCTGGGACCCCGACAATTTTTTGTTCTCAATTCTCACCAAACTTTTCTTATGGTTATACTCCAATCTATATTCTTGCCAGTTTACTGTTTTATAGTATTTTTAAACTGGAGCCCAACCCACCTCCCCTCTTTCCTCCACTCAGCAACTCTTTTGATGCTCTTGGCTTTTTATTTCCTCCATATGTATCTTGTTTCAATTTCTTAAATTACAAAAAAAAGGTTTTCTGGGAGTTTAATTTGGGGACATTTGATATCTAATAAAAATTTGGTAAATTTACCATTTTTACCAAATTTAAAACCCCCACCATGTCGGGCCTCCTCCTTCCAAAATTTTAATTCCTCTCTAATCTCGTTTATCAATAAATATATTTATTTATATAGAGTTTAATGAAGCTGTGTTTTTTACTCCTAAGTATTTTATACTAAAATTTTCCCATTTAAAGGGAAATTCCTTTTTGTATTTTTCTTTTTCTTTTTTTTTTAAAATTTTTTTAGAATCTCCTTTTTGTTGGGTTTTTTTTTGACTTTAAATTTGAAAATTTCCCCATATTCCTTTAATAGCTTCAAGTTTGGAAGTGTTATCCTGGGTTTTCCTACATAAACAACAAGTCACCCAAAAAAAGCAGCAACTTTATGCTCTGTGTCCCCTATCTGGATTCCCTTACATCTTTTTCAGCCTTATTGTTGACAACAGTGGTTTTTAATGATATAACATACAGCAATGGGACAGTGGGGGATCCCCGTCTTTTTCCATTTGACATCTCATGGGTTACGACCTCCCCCATTTACCACAAAACCCAAGGGGGGATCGAAAAACTTTTCCCATCCACTCCTCATTCTAGGCCCCAATTTCCCAGACTTCAAGGTTTTTCCTCATGAAACTCCATCCACTCTGCAAACCTTTTTTCAGCATCGATTGAGAAATAGCACTAAACCTGGGGGTTTTTTTTTTCCCCTTTTTAACTTTTTTGGACACCATCGGATCGTAACTCTTATCTTTGGGCCCCCCCTCCCTGGGACGAAACCCACTGGTCCCATTATCCATTCAGGCATTTGTTTTTCAATCTATTTTCCAGGCCTTTTCGTATAGCTAGTGTCGGGGTTCAATAATGAGATAGGTCTATAGCTTAACACGGGAGGCTCCTTTCCCTCTT